CAGCAGATACATGGGAACACCATCCCCTGCAAGTTCCCCTCCAAGCCACTCCCCATCCTGATTTGGAAATATATTGCCGTTCCTTCACTGTCGCTGGGTCAAAATCCTGGAATTCCCTCCCTAAGGGGCATTGTGGGTCAACCTACAGCAGGATGATTGCAGCAGTTCAAGAAGGCAGCTCACCACCACCTTCTCAAGGGGCAACTAGGGACGGGCAAGAAATGCTGGCCAGCCAGTGACACCAATATTCCACAAGTGAATAGAAAAATAAACTCTTGGGAAATAGGGCAGAACAGGTGATGGAGGTGACAGTGGGAAGCTACTTTGGGTCCAGTGATTATAGTTCTATTAGTTTTAAAATAGTTATGGATAGGGTCAAAACTGGCCCACAGGTTCAAGTTCTAAATTGGGGCAAGTTGGATTTTGATGGAATAAGACAGGAGCTTGCAGGGTTTGATTGGAGGAGTCTGTTTGCAGGCAAAGGGACCTCTGGCAAGTGGGAGGCCTTTAAAAGTGTGATAGCTAGAGTTCAAGGTTTATATTTTCCTGTGAGAATGAAGGGCAAGGATGGCAGGAGTTCACAGGAGATATTGAGACTTTGACCAGAAAAAAGAAGGAGACATGGCTTACGTTCAGGCAGCTGGGATCAAGGAAATCCCTGAGGTATATAGGGGATACAGGAGTTTCCTGAAGAAGGAAATCAGGAGGGTGAAAAGGGGGCAGGAGATAGCTTTGGCTGAGAAGATCAGGGTGAATCCAAAGAGATTATTTAGATTATATTAAAGGAAAAATAATAACTCGAGAGAGAATAGGACCCTTCAAGGACCAAAGTAGATATTTATGTGTGGAACCACAGGAGATGGGTGAGGTCCTCAATGAATATTTCTCTTCTATATTTACCGTGGAGAAAGACATGAAGACTTGGGAACTTGGGGAAGTTAGTGGCGATATCTTGGGGACAGTCCATATCACAGAAGAGGAGGTATTGGAAGTATTAGAATGTAAGAAGGTGGATAAATCTCCTGGTCCTGACCAGATATATCCAAAAACCCTGCAAGAGACTAGAGAAGAAGGTGCCCCTCCCTTATCCCAGCTGTTTGTCTTCTATTAATGAGCCAACCCTCTACACATCTTAATATACTCCCTCCCGACACTATGGGCTCATCTTATTACTGAGCCTCGTATATGGTACCTTATCAAATATCTTCTGAGAATCCAAATATTTCACATTCACTGCTCCTCCTTCATCCATCCTGCTTGTTACCTCCTCAAAGAATTCTAGTAAATGTGTCAGGCATGGATTCCCCTTCATGAAGCCATGCTGACCCTGCTTGATCATAGTTTTTTTTTCTATTCATTTGTGAGATGTGGGCGTCGCTGGCTGGCCAGCATTTATTGCCCGTCCCCAGTTGCCCCTTGAGAAGGTGGTGGTGAGCTGCCTTCTTCAACTGCTGCAGTCCTCCTGCTGTGGGTTGATCCACAATGCTATTAGGGAGGGAATTCCAGGATTTTGACCCAGTAACAGTGAAGGAATGGTGATATATTTCCAAGTCAGGATGGTGAGGGGCTTGGAGATGAACTTGCAGGGGGTGGTGTTCGCATGTATCTGCTGCCCTTGTCCTTCTAGATGGAAGTGGTCGTGTGTTTGGAAGGTGCTGTCTGAGGATCTTTGGTGAATTTCTGCAGTGCATCTTGTAGATAGTACACACTGCTGTTACTGAGCGTCGGTGGTGGAGGGAGTGGATGTTTGTGGATGTGGTACCAATCAAGCGGCTGCTTTGTCCTGGATGGTGTCAAGCTTCTTGAGTGTTGTTGGGGCTGCACCCATCCAGGCAAGTGGGGAGTATTCCATCACACTCCTGAGTTGTGCCTTGTAGCTGGTGGACAGGCTCCGGGGAGTCAGGAGGTGAGTTACTCACCACAGTATTCTCAGCTTTTGGCCTGCTCTGGTAGACACTGTGTTTATGTGGTGAGTCCAGTTGAGAATCTGGTCAATGGTAACCCCCAGGATGTTGATAGGGGGGGATTTAGTGATGGGAACACCATTGAATGTCAAGGGACAGTGGTTAGATTGTCTCTTATTGGTGATGGAGTATGTATTTCTCAATGCTCTGCTATTACATCCTTTAGAAAAATCTCCAACATTTCCCTAATAACAGATGTTAAGCTAACTGCCCTATAGTTACATGTTTCTTGTCTTTTTTTTCAAACGAAGTGTTACATTGACAATTTTCCGATCCCTGGGACTGTTCCAGAATCTAAAGATTTCTGGGAGATTACTATCAGTGCATCCATAATCCCTATAGCTACTTCCTGTAATATCCGAGAATACATCCCATCAGGTCCAGGGGAATTATCAATCTTTAGATCTATAAGTTTCCTTAGCACTTTTTTTTCTAGTGATAGTTACTGTTTTTATTTCCTCTCCTCCTTTTGCCCCTTGAATATTTAGTAATTTTTGGTATGTTATGAGTGTTTTCCACTGTGAAGATCGATGTAAAGTAGTTATTCAAATCCTCTGCCATTTCCTGGTTCCTCATTATTTATTTCCTCAGCCTCATTCTCTCAGGGCCCTCTGTTCACTTTGGCTTCTCTTCTATTTTATATATTTTGATAAGCTCTTGCTGTCCACTTTGTTTATATTTGCAAGTTTACCCTCAACATTTATTTTCTCACTATTATTTTTCTGGTTGTCTTCTGTTGGTTTTTAAAACTTTTCTCAATCCTCTGGCTTATCACTAACCTTTGTCACATTGTACGTTTTTCTCTCAATGCCATGCTGTCATGAACTTCCCTGGTTAACTAGGGTTGCCTTATCTAGTCCCTGGAATCCTCTTTCATCACTGGGATGTACCTTTGCTGTGAGCCATGAAGTATTTTCCTAACTGCCTGCCATTCTTCTTAACAATCTTTGCAGCTCGACTTCCCAATCTCCTCCAAATAACTTTGCCCTCAGCTCTCTCGATCGTATCAATGTAATTCTTAACTAACACTGCAACCCTCAGCCTTTACCTCGTCTCCTGTCCTAACTAAATATCAGCTAGCCTGCAATATTCAACTTCCACTCTTTATCACCTTGCAAGCATGGCAAATAATAGCTGCCAGATCACAGATGTATATTTCTATTTGTTCTGTCAGTTAATCCGTTTTTTTGACAAATTTTTGTAACCTTTAGTCTTAGCTACATGCTAGAGTTTCAACCATCTGTCCCTATTTCTAGTCATTTCTGAATCAGCTTCTGTGCAGAGTAGGAATGTGATCAGGTTTGCCAGCTGAGCGGTTGACTAGCTAAGATCAGAGCACAATGTGACATCAGACACAGGCTGACCTGATGCTAACTTGCGTGAGATTGTGGTTGTGGTGACATTAACGTTGAAATCAGTCTTTTTTGTGGTTGTGTTATTTTTGAGGTCTCTTATACCAATTAATCACAAGTCTCTGCGGCATTGTGACATTAAAAACATTATGAAATGTACTCTGCTTCCTGGAATAGTCAAATGTCAGGACAGAATCTGCAATGATACACTCTGCACTCAAAAGCTGCTCTGCAATACTCTTGTGTCTTGTTAGGCAGGAGTGACTACATTGCATATCTGAATCAGACAGTCAAATGTTCAATGCAACACATAATCTCAGCTCCAGGATATCTCTGCAGGAGTTCCTCAGGGTAGTGTCCTAGGCCCAACCATCTTCAATGACCTTCCCTCCATCATAAGCTTAGAAGTAGGGATGTTCACCAATGATTGCACAATGTTCAGCACCATTCACGAAACCTCAGATACTGAAGCAATCCATGTTAAAATGTAACAAGATCTGGAGAATATCTAGGCTTGAGCTGACAAGTGGCAAGTAACATTTGCGCCACACAAATGCCAAACAATGACCCATCTTCAACAAGAGACCATCTAACCAATACACTTGGTGCGTACGTCCATATCCCTGAAGGTAGCAGGCATGGGGATAAGGTGATTAAGAAGACAGATGGAATACTTGCCTTTAGTAGCTGAGGTGTAGAATGCAAAAGCAGGAAGGTGTTGCTGGTACTGCATAAAACAGTGGTTAGGTCAAAATCAGAGGCTGCGTGCAGTTCTGATCACCACATTATAGTGAAGTAAATGTAAAGTCATCACAGTCCCAGAGGGCCATGAGGCTGCTCCCTCATTAGAGAGGGACACCTAGTGACGGTTTAACCTGAGGGTCACCACCCCTCAGGCAAAAGGCAAAGGGGGAGCAGGTAGGACCTTCATGGCAAACAATTTATTGGAAGGATGTGACAATACCACCAGAGAGGATTCAGACGAGATTTACCAGAACACTGCCTGGGCTGGAAACTCTTCACTATAAGCAAAGATGGATCAGCTTGCGTTGTTTCCCTTGGAGCAGTGAAAGGGAATTGATTGAGGTATATAAGAATATAAAGGGCATGGATCGAGTGGTTAGGAAGGTACTATTTTCATTAGTCGAGGGGTCAATGACCAGTGAGCGTAGATTCAAAGTAAGGGATGGAAAGTTAAGAGGAGATTTGAGGTGATTGATTTTTTCATATGGTGGGGATGGGAGACTGGAACTGCTGCCTTCAACAGTAGGGGGTCAAAAACGATCAGATCATTGAAGCAGCATTTAGATGTTCCCTTGTGTTACCATAGCCTCCTATGGTAAGCTGGAAAATGGGATTAATGTAGTCGGATCTTTGTTGATAGTCGCAGATACAATGGGCTGAATGGCCTCCTTCTGCACTGCAAATGTATAAGAATCTACTGAAATATTGTCAAGTAGTTGGTTTCAGTCACTGCTGCTACGTTACTTCTCAGATTTTAGAAATTCTCCAATGGTTGAGGAAGGCAGCTCACTATCTCTTTGTCATGGGCATTTAGGGATTGGCAATAAATGCTGGTCTTGCCCATGAGTCTTGAAACCTGAAATACTGGCCCAAATGCCAGAGATCAAGCACTCCATTCCGTCATCGTCCCCACATTGACATGGTAACTGTCTAATTGTACCTGAACAACTCCTGATCCAGGGCTGACAGTGAAGCTGGGGTTTGGGCATCAGACACGCTGACCAACGGGATACGTGCAAACTCTTTGCTGTCTTCTGGTGGGATGTTCCCTTCCATCACCTTGTAATAATCTTGTAGGAACCGGTAAGTATCCTGGAATCGATCGATTTCCACCTAACATGGAAAAGAGGGTTACAGTCACATCCCCTTTATCCCGGTATTCCCTACATCTTGGCGTGTACATTTCCCTATCCCCCTGCGAGTGCATATCCCCTATCCTCCCCGCGAGTACATATCCCCTATCCCCCCCGCGAGTACATACCCCCTATCATCTGCAATTGGATTTTCCCCTTTCACATCCTGGCCTTTCCTATTTTGATTGCTGCTGAATTTTGCGGCTTTTAAATTCTATTCAAAAATCTGTATGCGCTTCCTTGTCTTAAAGATGCTGCTTAAATGGTTTTGTCCTTTGTTTAACCAAAATTTTGACAAACTGACCAGAATCACACTCGAGCACAATCTGTAACCTCATGGCCGGGCATATCTCCCACTCAACCACTACCATCAAGCCAGGGGATCAACCCGGTTTCAATGGAGAGGCAGGAGCAGCACCAGGAATACCTGAAGGTGAGGTATCAACCTGGTGAAGCCACCAAACAGGACTACTTGCACGCCAAACAGCGAGAACAGCAAGTGATAGACAGAGCTAAGCGATCTCACTACCAACAGATCAGATCTAAGCTCTGCCACATCCAGTTGTGAATGGTGGTGGACAATTAAACAACTCACTGGAGGAGGAGGTTCCACAAATAATCTCTTCCTTTATTTATATAAATGATATAGAAGAAAATGTGGGTGTGGGAGAGAGGAGGAATGATAAGACAGACAGACAGGCACTTGCGTTGGCCTAGATTATAAGAGGAGGGAGGTTATGTTGGGGCTGTACAGGACTTTGGTTAGGCCCCAGCTGGAACACTGACAGTTCTGGTCACCACACTATAGGAAGGACGTGAACACACTGGAGGGGGTGCAGAGGGAGATTCACCAGGATGTTGTCTGGAATGGAGCAGGTCAGTGATGGAGAGCGGCTGGATAAGCTCGGGTTGTTTTCTTTGGAGCAGAGAAGGTTGAGGGGGCACCTGACAGAAATGGATAAGATTATGAGGGAAATGGACAGTGTGGACAGAAAGCAGTTGTTTCCCTTAGTTCAGAGAATGATAGAATTCCTACAGTGCGGAAAGAGGCCATCTGGCCCACCGTATCTGCACCAACCCTTCGAAGATCATTCCACCCTATCCCCATAACCTTGCTATGGCCATGTCTAACCCACCTAGTCTGCATGTCCTTGGACACTATGGGGCAATTTAGCCTGGCCAATCCATGGGGATCCAACATGCAATTTCTACATAGATAGTCATTCAATGCTGGAATTGAAACCGAGTCCCTGATGCGCATTAACTACTGTGCCACCATGCCACCCTTGTTCAAGGGTCAATAACAAGGGTACGTAATTTTAAGGTAGGATGCAAGATTTTGGAGGGAATTTGAGAAACATGGATTTTTTGACCCAGAGGATGGTGGGGGTCTGGAATGCACTGGAAGGGTAGGGGAAGTGGGAAACCTCACAAACATTAAAAATTACTTCGATGAGCACATTCAAGGCTTTGGGCCTAGTGCTGGAAAGTCGGATTAGTGCAGATTTAGATTTTTTGTCAGTGCAGACTCAATGGGCTAAAAGGCCTCTTCTGTACTGGGTGGTTCTATGATTGTCAACAATAACTGGATGATCCATCGCAGCCCATCCAGTGGCCCCCATCATCACACTTACCTGTCTTCAGCCAGTTCGATGCATCCCACGTGATATGGAAGAAACAGTTGGAAGTCCTCAACTGTTCAAAGGCTGTCACAACATTCCAGCATTTTACTGAAGACTTGTGCTCCAGAACTGGCTGAGGGAGCGCCGCACCGTCGGAAGGTCAGTGCTGAGGGAGCGCCGCACCGTCGGAGGGTCAGTGCTGAGG